TCTTACCCTTTTGTTGTTATGCAGTTTGATAGCGAGAATGTTACTTCTGTTGAAGTTAATCTAGAGGAAACTGAACTCAAAGAAAAGGGATTAGAGAAACAACTCGAAGGTATTTCTACTGAAACGAAATAGGCTGAAGTTTCTTACTGTTTATATCACAATTCGGTGTGGTGGTGATGGCTGTGGTTTTCTTGTTTTTATTCTTGTTTTCGTTGCTCTCATTCGCGTTCTCGTTCTTGTTGTTCTCCTTATTGCTTGTGTTTATGTCTTCGTCTATGTTCTTGTTATTTTTGTTTTTTTTCTTTTTCTTGTTGTTTCTGTTATCGTTTCCTACTTCGCCTTCTCTTTAAAACATTCACGTTTCAGGGTATGCGGAACTCAGTAGAGTAATGAGATATGCATTACGGTTCTTTCTACTGCTGCTTCATATTTCTTTCTGTTGTTGGTGCCCTGAGTGTTTCTATTCTTAGTTCGTTGCTGGCTGTTTGATTTGTATTTGGGTTTATTTACGTATACTTATTTTCATATACTTTTTCTGTGTTTCATTTCAGGGAAGACGTTTGACGTGATAACTCGCATTCTTAAATCGTTGATCGGGAAAAGTGTAATTGTTCCTGGAGATTTCAAGAGCGTCAAAAACCAATATGGGATTACTTGCAGCTACAGAGCACAGAGCGGCCATCTTTATCCTCTCAATCGTTCTTTCTTATTCATAGTGAAACCCGTTATTTTTGTCAGGTGCGTTTCTTGTGCTTCATTTGTTTGTGTATATTCGCGTAAACATGCATTTGCTGCATTCTTATGTATATACACTTGTATATTTTCGCATTTATTCTGTACGTATATTTGTGGGCATCCGCATTTCACTACACATGTATGGCATATATTTCCACATCATACCCGGCGAATATTTATGTATATGCATAACCATATATTTTTTTTACCGATGCTTAGCTCATCACAGTTTTATCCTCGAAGTCTGCTTTTTCTTGGTCTATGTGCTTTTTCTCGACGAATCAAGTAGCGTCTTAATTTGGTTTGGTTTGTGGTTTCGTTGTTTTCTCAGATTCGAAGATGTGGTGAGCGTGGAGTTTAGCCGAACGGGTGCGAGCACCACCAACCGTTTCTTCGCTTTCACTGTTTCCTGCCGAGGGGGTGTTGAACACGAGTTTACTTCAATTGACCGCAACGAGTACACTGTAAGGGAGCAGCACGGGTTCCTTCGTTTGCTGCCAGTTCAAATCCAGCAACTTAAAGTCCGAATCCCTGAGTCACGTGCCACCTACTGCAACAAAGCTCACTGCGGCGACTGGAGATATACACACAGTGAAGCATCTGTTGTCATGCAGCTGGCAACGGTGGCTCTGCTGTTGCTGTTATGCACGGTATTTCGTTCGCGCCGTGTGTTGTGTTTGCACAGCCCCTGGTGGAGTTCTTGACGCAGAGGGGAATTCGCATTAAGAACGCCGAAAATTCAAACACGCAGAGAACAGGCGGACTGCAAGAAGAAGAAATACAAACCGACGAAGATGACGATGACTACGGCGGAGAGGAATCCGAAACAGGTACCTAAACCGTATGAGACCTCAGACCCTAACCCTAAACCCTAAACCCTAAACCCTAACCTCTACCAGAGCAGCAGCAGGAGGAAGGGAAGCATCCACAGCAGCAGCAGAAATATCGGGTTAAACAGTTGCATCATCGTAACAGGTGTTCGATAACGCCGCCCCTTATACTTTCCTTAGCAGAATCGAATGGCTCACTGGATGCATCACAAAGATAACAAACCTTCCGGTGTGATATATATACGGCAAACAGAAAGAAGTGAAGCTGATATTGGAAGATATAGTCAATGATTAGAACTATTGATGGTTCCTGAGGTTCGTGTCATGCAGATGAAGACTTTGAAGACGAAGAGGACGATGAGGAAAGCGAGGAGAGCGCTGGGGAA